CAAGACTCCTGGGTCTGCTTTCCTCCCCTGTGCCTCAGCTTCGCCCACATCACCCCTGGGGGTACCAGGGTGATCCCACCACCCCATCCCAGGCTCTTACCCCATCCCAAGCACAGGAAGCGCTTCCTGACCAGGCGTGTCCGGATCCGGCCGATCACCGCCAGGTAGGACTGCCAGGCCTCCGTCAGCACCCAGCAGAAGGACGAGAGGAAGAAGAAGTGGAGGAAGGCGGCTGTCATGGTGCACACGCCCTGTGGGGACACGGGGACATCAGGGGGACACGGCCACGTGCCCGGCACCGCGGCGGTTAAACCCCCACGCCCGGCGAGGTTTGTGTCAAAGCCACCAGCGCAGAGGATTTAATCCCAGGATCGAGTTAATCCAAATCCAATCTGCTGCTGGGAGCCAGCAGGGAGGAGGTGACCGGCCTCGGACCCCACGGCAGCCCCCGTGCCCACCTGGGGACCCCGGGAGGGTGGCAGGGGGGTGGCACCCACCTTGCTGAGCATCTGGGACTGGCCCACGAGGATGAGGATGTTGGAAGCCAGGATGGAGACGCAGAAGTTGAGCAGGATGATGGAGCGCTCAGACTTGATGAACCTGTGGCAGGACCAGCGTGGGGCCGGGGTGCCAGCCTGTCCCCTGTCCCTGTCCTTGTCCCCCCAAGCTGCCAATGGGTGGGCAGGAGCTGTCCTGGGGCAGGGACAGTGCCAGGCAGCCTGGGCACCTTCTCCCACCTGGGTTATTCCCTTCCCACCACGTTGCATTCAATCTCACCGATGCCGAGCCCTTGCTGGCGCCGTGCCCCCCCTGTGCTGTCCCCTCCCCACACGGCCTCGAGCCCCAGGTGCCCCCCAGGTCCCCAGGTGCCCCCGGGTCACCTCCAGAAGGCAGCGTAGATCACCAGCAGGGTCAGCAGGGCCATGCAGGACACGGCACAGCCGATCATCAGTGGCACCGACGGGGTGCCCGAGGGGTCCATGGCCTGGGGGGAAACCAGGGGGGGAGTGGCTGAGCCCAGCCCACCCCCCTTCGGCTGCTCCCTACCCCCAGTTGTGCCCTCCACCCCCCCAGTGGGGACCCCTGGGTGCCAGAGGGGGTCGGTGACAGCGGTGGCACAGCCAAGGCGCCTTCCTGGGGACCCGTGCCCATCTCCATGCCGACGGGGGACGCGGGTGGAATAGCAATGGGGTGGGGGGACACCAGGGGCTGGG